TACGCACCCTCCCCTTGCTCCTAATCCAGTGTGTGGGTGTATATATATATATATATATATATATATATATATATATATATATATATATATATATATATATATATATATAATAATAATTGTAATATACCTTGATCTTATAATCATAATAAAACTACCAAATATTGAAAAAAAAGGTGGGGGGGGGGAGCTGTAGCCTTTTTTACGCACTCTGGACCTAGATTCCTGGAAGTTAAATAATAATTATATCTGTTTTATTTCACATAGTTTACTTTTTACCTAATATAATTGTAATTTTTAGTATTAATTGACTAAAACCTTTCCAAAATTAAGCTTTAGTTAAAATAGACTAATTTTTGAAAAAAAACCCTAAATTTAAAACCCGTTTCCCGGTAGCTAGACATCAATATTTTGTAAAAATATTATTATATTTGAATTCCCTATACCCAAATACATAGGAATCCAAGCGTACTAGTCAAAATTCTAAAAATTTAATTTTTAGCTCTAGTATGATATACCCTAATATATATATATATATATATATATATATATATATATATATATGTATATATATATATATATATATATATATATATATATATATATATATATATATATATATATATATATATATATATATATATATGTATATATATATATATATATATATATATATATATATGTATATATATATATATATATATATATATATATATATATATATATATATATATATATATATATATGTATATTTATATATATATATATATATATATATATATATATATATATATATATATATATATATATATAAATTTTTTCTTAGCAGCAAAAAAGGTTATTAACTTTTTTTTATTAAAAAACCTTGTTTAGCAAAGAGTCCTGTAAAATAGGTAGACTAAAAGCGAGTCAAACAGATCTCACTATTTTTTCGATCATTGATCGAAAAATTTAAATAAAACCGGAACGGATAAAATTATTTCAAAAATTAAAAACATCAAAAGAAAAAGAACACTGGTGGCCAAAGAGACCACCAGGTTTAATGTCAAGTCATTCAAATGAAACTTTTTTTATTCAAAGTATTTGTTCTATAAAAATAGAAAAGAGTGTTTAAAAATCAAAAAAAAATGATAAGGGTCACAAATGGGGGAAAAAGTAAAATTGAACGGTCTATGCCCATTTAAAAATTTTAGATGCCTATTACAAAAAATATATATAAATTAAATTTCAAATAATTTAAACAAAATTTAAAACAATAGGTAAAAATTAAACAAAAAAGTATGGTAAAGTAGATGTATTAAACTTTTTCTAGTAAAACCAATCATTCATATATATAATTTAAATTCTTTTATTTTCTTATATGAATTTTTATATTTGATACCTATGCGAATTAAATGAACATCTAATGTGTTAGTTCCGGTTTCTCTCTATACAATGTTGTTAAATAAAAATGACTAAATAATATTTATTAATCATTTCAGGGTTTATACAGGTTCTAAACGAAAGATTTCCCTGACTCAACTCAAAAATATAAGTAATTTCCCCGACATTTTTCTTGAAAAACAAAATTTCCCCCTGTCTTTTTCCAAAAAAATCTTTCTCCTCTGACTTGTTAACTATATATAGAAATAATGATAAATTTCCAGAAAAAAAACTCACATTGTCATGCATTGACACTTGCATATATAACAAAAGAGCATATATGACTGATCATATATGTTCTTTAATTAAAGACTTTTATTAATTTACACTTAACAATAAATCAAAATATTCTTAAAGTTTTACATACTTGATATAAAGAAATCTTTTTTTAAACCTTTTTTCTATGATGTAAAGAAAAAGTCAAAAAAACAACAACTTCATCTTGAAAATCAATTATTTTATAAAGAAAAAGAATAGTTATAATAAAGTAATACCCTTAAAAAAAGGAGTTTCACATTATTTTCTTTTTCTCTTCCAAAATATGAACTACCTTTTCCGAATTTTTAATTTTAAGACATTTTTTTTCACTCTTCTTTTTCAAATCATTTTCTTTGATAACTAACACCAAATCTTTTTCTCATATACATATTTCTTCAATTACTAAGTTTCTAATTTTTTTGTCACACATATTTCTTCGATTACTTACCTCAAACCTTTTTTCTCTTCTGTTTCTTATATGATATTAATATACTCAATATCAAAATTGTTGCAAAAATCTAGTAAAAAAAAATTTTTTTTTTAATACATCACTGATTTCTCTGGTAAAAATTCTAACAGATGGTTGCATTGATTTTTCTGAGCATTCTTTTTCCCTTGATCAAGGCCTAGCTGATATCTTTGGTGTGTACCTTTCACAAACTTTATAAACTTATTTGCTAGCTTTTTGGTTGAAGAAATCAGGTTGTTCTTTTACATATGATCTACTATCATCTTTATATTATTGATCTTATTTTTTTTATATTAACTTTGGTTACAATATAACATTAACATTAGGTCCTCTCTCTACCCTTGCTTGACCATGACTTGTAAATAAAACCAATTTTATAACAGATTTTAACTCTTTAGTATAAGGATAGTGGATATATGAAAAAAGAAATCATCTAGTCTGGTTCTCTCGCAACTTAAAGATTTTACTATTTTGGGATCTTAAGATAACACTGCCAACATATCTGAATATTGTGGCAAAATTTTTTCTGCTAAAGTCGCATTAAAAATCTTCATAGAGTCAAATATTGTTTTATCTTGCTTCGTGGCTTGACTAGCAATACATAGGATATGGATCTATTGATTGGATTGGTTGTATACAGGAACTTGGATCAAACACATTTGCAATTCCTACCATGCAATGATGAAATGGAATTTTTTGAGTGATTTTCTCCAGTTTTATCATATTTGCAGCTTTCTTTTGTAATTGGTTCAAAATTTCTTTGTTGTAAAAAATAAAACTTAAATTTTCTCTTATTTCTGCTATACAAAAAATGCTTTTAGATATATAAAATTATATACTTATTAAATGTATTTTATATTGATTTTTATATTTTTAAATGCAATTAAAATTTTTTTTTTTGTATTTTCTATATTTCAAAAAATAATAAAGTTGTTTAATTTTTATTATTTGGTGATTGGTTTGACCTGGTTTTATTCTACAACAGTATAAATAAATAACACATCTGTAAAATAGATAAATATAACAATATAAATATAGATAAAATTTATAGAATAAAACCAATCACATCATTTTTTCGATCACTGATCATAACGTTAAAATAAGATAAAAAGAATATTTGAATAGAAAAAACAACAAGAAGATGAAGAACTTGATTCCTTTATTTGAGTATGTAAAAACAATTGTTATGATAATAAAAATTTTCTTAGCTCAGGAATCAATAATCAAGTAAAAACAATTTTAAAAATATGTTGTTGATTCCAATAGCATAAATAATTTCTAGTTGAAGACAAAATATGAAATAAAATATTAGAAATAATATTAATCCTAGTGAATGTGTAAATTAGTACGAGAAATGAGATATTGACTTAAATGCGAACTTGATGCAAAAACTTTCTTTATCAAACAATTTTAAAAGCACTAGCAAAAGTGTCTATCTGCAAAAGTATAAACTACTAACTTTTATGAAAAGGTACATAAATAAACATAGTAACTCACATCAAAACTTTTCATACACCTATCATTAGGTTTTAGTTCAGAAAAGTGTTAAGCATAATTTAAAGATAAATTATAATTTTAGCACATCTATTTTGTGGAGCTTTTTTAAAAAAATTGTTCAAATTTAAGCTGTGAGACAATTTATTTTATGTCAATTGTATAATTCATCTGGAAATAGTAAATCATTTATTAATTTTATTTGACGTAAAACATTAAATATAATTAAAAGATATATAATACACTAGTAACTTATTGTCTATAACACCCTAGCAACATATAATCTACTTTATAGTGTTTATAACAAATACTTATTAAAAAAGTCACAAGTAAAGAAAATAATTATAACAAATATTCATAAAAAAGAAAAACTGATTTTAAGCTCAATTAAAACAAAGAATTTGCTTACAAAACATTTTTTCAGTCATAAATATTTTCAGAATACTTCTAGGTACTTCAGAGTATTTTCTAGGTACTTCAGGGTATTTTCAGGCATAGGAATCCTGGGATACAACAGTTTTTTAAAACTCCCAAATTGAGCTTTTAATACCATGTTTATTTATGTTAGATTTATTTTTCGATTTATCTAATCTTACCATGAATAAATAGCTTACATTTTTAAAGCTTGAAACTCTTAACTTCCTATGTTATGAACTTGTTTAAGTTATAACCTAATTTTAAGTTATAGTCTTGTTTGGCCATTTTTAAACCTTGAAACTCTTGATTTGTCTATAACAGACAGTCCCAAGGGTGAGGTTTTTTTTTTAAAGATTTTAGTTGGAAAAAAAATTTTTATAGCTATAGTACCCTTCCCTCTGCCCCCACTTCATTCTTTAAGATCTTTTCGGGGCAGCCCTGATTGCAGAATCAATTATATTTATAGTTATGTGGTTATTATATTTAATGTAAAATATTTTTTTAAATCTGTTTTTGAAATTAATTGTTAACTTTTAATAATTAATTTCAAAAAAAGAGTCACCAGACTGTGACTCTGAATCATTGCAGTTTACTTTATAATGACTACACAGCATTCTCTTTTCTTGGAAGTATTATTGTTCAATTTTCTTGGAAGTATCATAGTTTAATTTTCTTGGAAGTATCTTAGTTTAATTTTAATAATAAAATAAGACCTGCGATTGAATTATGAGGAAATGATGTAGTTGTTTCATTTATTAATAATACAATCATGTCATTTAACTATTTTAAAAACCTATTTTTATCTTTTGGGGAAATAAATTTGATATTTTAATACTAGCTTCAAAGGATAACTTTATTTTAGAATAAACATTTGTTTATTGCTAACCACAACACATAAAGACTAAAAAAAGATTAAAAAAAAACATAAAAAAAATGAAATTACCGATGAAATGTTCCTTTGCATGAACACACTGTAACATGGTTGTCAAAAGGATAAATGATTTCATCAACGCGACAATATTCACAAACGAAGCCTTTACCTTGACAAAGCTAAAAAAGCAATTTTAAAATAATAATACTTTTGATTGCCTGAAAGTTTAAAATTTTTTTGAAAGAATAAAATATAATTAATAAAGAAAATGAAAGAATGAAAAAATATTTTTTGTTATTAACATATAATCAATAGAATGAAAGAATGACAAAAAAAGTATTTTGTTTTTAAAATCTTATCATAAAATGGGGCAAATCTAATTAACTTTAGTTTGCAGACTTATAATACAGGGTGTCTACCTTTTTAACTCTTTAGTATAAGGATAGTTAACTTTTCCCTGATCTTCTACCTGTTTTCCATGATTTAATTTAAAGTTACCCAAACTCAACTTCACAAAAATTGACCTAGATTCATTTAGAAAAAAGCTCTTCAACTGCAAATATATAAACAATAATACAACCCATATTACATGTATCAAGAGAAGTTCATAAAACTGCCAAATAAATTAATATATTATGTATACCATATACAATTTATTTAAGTTATGCAATTTCTCCCTGATTTTTCTGCAGCTTACTGAATTCCCTGACTTTTCCCTGTTTTCCCTGATTACACTGATCTGGCAGACACCCTGTACTATGTTATTAATTTGAACTGCATGTATAACTTATTTTATTGTGAGATGTTGTAGTAATATAGTTGTGAATTGCTTTGTAAGCAAGAAATGCTGAGCTAAACTTATGAATTGATAAACATGGATTATATCAATTTAATTTATCATATAAAGCATGTTTGAACATCTTTTAAAATCTTTCAAGTTTGCAACTTCTTTAAAATAACTTACTGCAGATGGATGTACAATGTTGTTTCCTTTTAACTAACCATACTAACAGTTCATATTAAAATAAAACTTTAAAAGAATTTACTTCGGTCTATTCACTAGTAACTAAAAAGAACAACTTGGATTCACATCTGACAAAGTGCAAAAAAACCCAACAAACACATAAAATCTCAATTTTTTTTTTTTAATTAATAAATCTAATGTCTTATTGAATGTCTTTATCTCTGCTTTCTTCTGTTCTTCTATTCCAGCTAAAGTTGCTCTATTATGTTGCTTACGTTGCTCTATTATGTTGCTTACATTGCTCTAGTCATTTCTAATATTTTTAAAATAATCTTTTATTTCAAAGATTTTTTTAATAAAAAAAGAACTTTACTTATATTACACTTGATTTTACACAAATTGGAATTATTATTGTATATTAAATGGCTCAAAAAAAAGGTTGTAATTTATCTCATGATGAAAAAATGCACATTGTTTTTAAGTTTAAAGAGGACTATAGTACGAGAAAAATTTCATTAGATTTAAAAGTAGTCAGAAACACTGTGAGTAATGTTTTAAAAGTGGAAGGAGACACGCTTGTCTCAGAGAGTTAACCAAGGCCCTCCAAAAAAAAACAACAGTTAAAGATGAGAGGGTTCTAGTAAGAACTTGGCAATAAAAGGTTAACTTCTTCTCAACTCGCACAACTAGTATGTGATAATGTTACATGTAGCACTAGGAAAGTGTGACGCATCTTGTTAAAATATGGACTTAGAGGATGTATTGCTGCTAAAAAACCACTTTTTTCATCAAAAATAACTAAACTAGATTTGCATGGGCAAAGAGTTTTAGAAAGTAGTCAGCTGATAGTTGGCATTCTGTATTATTAAGTGATTAGAGTTCTTTTGAGCTATTCTGCTCAAAGTATTGCATCAATATTCACCAAAGAGTTAGTGAAAAATATTCAGATTCATGCTTACAGCCTAATGTGAAGCATGGTGTAGATTCAATTATGATTGGGGTATGCACAATCTCCTGATATGTCCCGATTGAGATATGTTGGAATGACATCAAGAAAAAGTTAAGAAATGCAAGACCATCTAACAAGACTGCTCATCTTGAAATTATGCAGAAAACCTGGGAAGGAATGGGAAATGATTATTTGAGGAAACTTATTGACACTATGCCACAATGTGTAAATGATCTATATGAAGCTGGTGACGGACACACAAAATGGTAGAATATAATGCATTATTGTATAATCACTTGTTTTAGATACAAATTTACTTTATACATTGAATATACTGACCTTTAACTCAATTTTCATTTTTTTTTTTTTTTGAATTTCGGCAGTGGCTCATTTATTTTTGGCCAGCACTATATGTGAGTCACTTTTTAGTTTCAAACCATTGGTAAATCTGTATTCTTTCTGATTAGGGGTCTTCTATTAAGTATTTACACAAGTATGGGGAAAGGAAAGTTACCCAAAAATTTGTGAATGCATACAGGGGGAATAGGGTATTAAAGACAAAGTGTACATATGCGATTTGACCCTCACTCAATTTGATTTTCCTTTTTTAAAAATCAATATTATGTTATGTAACAGAAATATTAATGCTATGAAATGTCAAACTAACTAAAAGATTTTTGTCTTTAATGTTTTGAAATATTTATGCGTAGGAGAATGTGGTGGGTTGATTTTGTAATAAATAATGTGTACATACCCAGTAAAAGAAGGGGAAGGGGAGAAGGGTCAGATTGAAAGCATCAGGTGCATACTATGGAGAAGGGATTGTTTTTATTTATTTAAAATTTTATTTTCAGTCGATTGTTTACAATAGTTTTATATTCAACAAAAACTAATTAAAATCAACACACTAAACTGTATAAGACAATACAAACAAACATACATATTGTGAATAAAAAATAAATAAAATAAAATATAAATAGCTTACATAGTAAATAAAATAAATGTCAAAAATACAACAAATTGATTATTTTCGACGTAAAAAATAAAAAAAGTTATTTTTGACAGATTTTACAAAAACAAGATTTTCCGTCCCATTTTAAAATTAAATTTTTAAAATTTTTTTTTGAACTTCTTTAGACAATTTATTGACATAGTTTTATTGTCTAGGGAGCTCCATAGCGAGGTTGCTCTATATAAATTACTTTTTATGAACTTATGTTTAGAGACTATGGGTGGGAGTACTAATTTCTTACTACATCGCAGACTTAACGGCAGGGATTTTTTGATAAAAAGATCTAACATAAAATCAGGATTTAAACATTTATAGATTTAAAAACTTCAGTTAACAAAAACCTTAAATTTCTAAGGTGGATACTTGGGACATTTTCTATTTTTTGAATTTTTTCTGGAATGGGAGATCAAATCTTTTATAGATAATGCGAAGTCCTTTTTGATGAACTTTATTAATTAGGTTATTATTATACTTCGAACAAAACATCCAAATCAAAAGACAATAGGAAAAATTTGACAGTATAAAAGCATTGAATAAAACAGTAGCTTGTTTTACTGATAAGAAGCTCCTTATTTGTAAAAGAGCGAAGCATTTACTATTCGCTTTTCCACACAGGCTTTTAATATGATCATCAAATTTCAAAGGGATCCTAAAATATTAGTTTTACTGGGTACATGGATGGCCCTTAGCTTAAATGAATGCTTTTTTTTTACTCAGTTCCTTGGCAACTAAAATTATGCATAAAAATGTTGAAAAAAAGATTACCAATAAAAGCATACAATAACTCTTTTCTTAGTCCTACTAGGCAAAAGTTTTTTCTACTTTCTTTATTTTTGTTTGAGTTATTTTTACCAATAATATTTTTCAACAGCTTTAATTTTAAAATGAAAATGAATTTTAACATACTATACTATATAACTATGACAAAAAATGACAAAAAATAAACTTACAGGACAATCAAATTTAATATGTTTTGCAAGAGTAGCACACTTTTTAGTAAGCTCTTCTAGCAAAATATTGTTTTCCACATCGATCAAATCTTGAACTGAATATGTCAGGGGGTTGTCCATGAAATGTTGACGATTTTGAAACTAATTTAAAAATTTATATTTAGTCATAATAGTTTACTATATAAAAATTTGAAAATATTTTCATCACATATAATTTATAAAAGCAATACTTTTTTAATTTTTGGAAACTGTTATCGAAAAACTTTTCCACCACTGAACAATAACAGGCATTCAATGGTTAAAAATTGCTTAGAATTGACAAAAACTCTATTTTGGTCTTCAAAAAAACTTGCAGGTCAAGGTTGACAAGCTTATTTTAATTGAAATATCTTATTTTTAAACCCAATAGTAATATTAATAGAAGAGACAAAGAAGAAAAAAGACAAAATGAAAAAAAACAAAAGAAGTAATTAATAATAAAAGAATTAAAAAGAATTAAAAACAAAGATAAAAGATCATCATTAAGTGAGTTTCTGAAGCTTTTTTAGTCCCTGACAATTTAGGCTTGAGTAAGCTATGTATGAAAGACATTTATTACAGTTTTAAAAATTTTTTCATTATTCTTATACTCTTTTTTGAATTTAAAGTTCAAAAATAAAAAATCTGAAAGATTATTTATTCATTTTAAAAATAAAAAAAAATCTAAAAAAGTTTCTACAAAAAAGGTTTTTGAATTTCTATTGGAACCTACTACTACTGGGATATCCTGATCCCATAGCTAATAATTGACCAGGGTTGAAATATGACTGGGGCTGGGGTAGGGTTTGATACCAGGGCTGCAAAAACATCCTAAAGTTTTTTTTTAATTCGAAATTCGTGTTATATTTTATATAAATATTCATGTATATTTATATATAAACCACATTATAATTAACATGATCATCATGATCATGATCATCATCATCATCATCATCATCATCATCATCATCATCATCATCATCATTATTATCACCATCATCATCACACATCACCATCACACATCATCACCATCACACATCATCACCATCACACATCACCATCACCATCACCACCATCATCATCATCATCATCATCATCATCATCATCATCATCATCATCATCATCATCATCATTATCATCATCATCATCATCATCATCGTCATCATCATCATCATCATCACCATCACCATCATCATCATCATCATCATTATTATCATCATCATCATCATCATCATCATCATCATTATTATCACCATCATCATCACACATCACCATCACACATCATCACCATCACACATCATCACCATCACACATCACCATCACCATCACCACCATCATCATCATCATCATCATCATCATCATCATCATCATCATTATTATCACCATCATCATCACACATCACCATCACACATCATCACCATCACACATCATCACCATCACACATCACCATCACCATCACCACCATCATCATCATCATCATCATCATCATCATCATCATCACCATCACCATCATCATCATCATCATCATTATTATCATCATCATCATCATCATCATCATCATCATCATCATCATTATTATCACCATCATCATCACACATCACCATCACACATCATCACCATCACACATCATCACCATCACACATCACCATCACCATCACCACCATCATCATCATCATCATCATCATCATCATCATCATCATCATCATCATCATCATCGTCATCATCATCATCATCATCATCATCATCACCATCATCATCATCATCATCATCATCATCATTATTATCATCATCATCATCATCATCATCATCATCATCATCATCATCGTCATCATCATCATCATCATCACCACCATCATCATCATCATCATCATCATCATCACCATCATCATCATCATCATCATTATCATCATCATCATCATCATCATCATCATCATCATCATCATCATCATCATCATCAAGCTTTAGTCTTCCCCTTTTATACTGTTTCTCTAATATAAACATCTCGAGCATCTTCTTTCATTAACTAAAGCTTCATACCATATGTAGTGCACCCTCTACAAGCTTTCTTACTTCTACTTCTACCTTTTTCTCCTGAAGCTGCTAATTTTCTACATGTTGATACCCAAATTGCTTTAATCTTCTCTGAAAAACACACAATGTTTTTTCTAATCTGTCTAAGAATATGGCTATATAGAATATTACTTTTCTTGTCTTATTAGAGTCATATTACACATCAATCATATGTATATTAAAGATATGTATATCTTTAATATACATATGTTTACTTGAAAATTGTATAATAAAATGTAGTTTATTTAGGGGGACAGTAGAACTAAATTTTTTAAAATTTGTTTTAGCATTAACTAATAATAAAAGTGTTAACTGAAATGAATCGTACTGAAAAAACAAAAAAAAAAAGGCTGAGAAGAAAGTACAGCGTGTCAACGAATCCAAGGAGGCTGCTGTTTCTCCTAAAGTACTCAATATAACCAGAAACCATCTGAAATATTCAATAATACTAAGAAGATACATCCAGTTTCTAAAATCTCCCAGTAACAACAAACTTTAATTATTTTTTATATAAATATACTATAAATCATTGATAAAATTTTAAAATGGTTTATATTATGCAATACCTATTTAATCTAATATCTCTCCCCCCCCCCCCCTCCTTTACTGTTTAAAATGAGAAACAATGAGGCAAAAATTTATGTAAGAACAAAAAACCATATTGATAAACACTTGTATATCTTTATTTTAGATCAATATGATTTCAATCTACAAAGTTGATAATAGCCTGCCCTCAGAAGCATGAGAACAGGGTGATCTGATCCGCAAAGATAGTTGAATTCTGAACAAATATGTGTTGCCTTCCTTGTAATAGATGCTTGGAAGAAAGCAGGGTATAAGATTTTATCATCAGTGGATCCAGTGTCAAGGATAAGATACTAAAGCTCCATAATAAGTACATAAATCTGCATCATCTTAAATCATTGAACTGGAATTCAAGCGATGGAAACTTCTCTAAAATACAGAAAGAGTTTATAGAGGAGAGTGAAGTACCTGGATTTTGTTTTCAAAATTTGCTAGTAATACACTCAAAGAGTGTATTACTAGCAAATTTTGAACAAAAAGTAAACAAGGATTGCTTTCGTTCAGAGAATGCCAAAAAGGAAGATATTCAGTTGTATCTAGATCAAAAAGGAGAGCAAAACATGGACATTACAAAAGAACTGGATGAATTGCCAAAATGTATTACAAAATTCAGTTAAAAATAAAAATATTCGACTTAAGAGGATGGAAGAACCAAGAGGTAAAGGTAGGATCACAATGACTGCAGTAAAATTCTATGAACTTGAGGTACATTTTTGTTTATCTGGAAATGATTCTAAATTGGAACTAAAATAAGCTCAGGCAAGAAATGACAACTACTCAGAAGGGAATAAAGCTGTGTTCATTTTGATAGAAAGATAAAACAGATCAAAAATCTAAAAATAACTGTTTATGTAGAAATAAGAGCGGTCAGTTTTACATACCCTGATATGGATGAAACATGACATACTGCTAGGTGTTGTTCAGACACTAAGATCTAAAGGTAGTGACCAGGCTGAAGCAATTTTGAATCTACTAGAATACTTTGACATTGATTATAGTTAGGTTGGATTGGAGTCAGCTGGGT